AGGTTCCCCAAATAGAAAAATACTTAGTTCCTGAGCCCAGAAAACACAAATATAGAGTTGGAGACCTGTTGAAATTCTCCTGCAGACAAAGACTTAAAAGAGTTGGACCAGATTCAGTTCAGTGTTACCATTTTGGATGGTCCCCTAGTCTTCCAACATGTAAAGGTGAATATCTATCTTATAATTGCTAAAACAAGAATTAGGATATCAACCTTTTTTTTTTCACTCTTAATTTTCTGTTGGCTTTGAATGTGTCTATAATCTAGTGCATTAAGCCAGGACATGTGCTGGGGGGTAGATACCTCAGACTTCCTTATTTAAGCAATTAATCTCCAATTGTTTCTTGAAATATGTAGTGGAAGTATTCATAGATACATATATGTCTCACACTCTTTTGTTATTTTTCCTTTTGCCTACAGTTCCACCAATAATATTGGACACTTTGTATAGCATGGGCCTTTCCTCAAGTTTTATTGAGTGTCTAAACAATATTCAAGCAACTTACAGTCAATTCAATGACATGTATGGCTTAATCAAAGTTAAAACATCTTGATCAAATGCTTGCCTCAAACAACGGCATTTTTTCAAACAGTTTTAATAAAATGTTTCCATGGAATATGAATATCGCTATAATTTACACAACCACATTTATTAATTGGTTTGCATACATCTTTAGGATATCTAGATTATTAAACATATTTTCTGGGCTTAAATATACTTCCAATACACTAGTTCAGTGTAAGTAATAGAACTGGGAAACATGTTTCTGGTGTAAACACCATTGTTTAAGAAGGCTATAATAAATTATATTATAAATTATACAAAGTAATTTTTAAAAAGTCTCTACTTTATGAATTTTTAAGTTGTAAAATAGATAATTTAACCATTATTCACACAGTATTTCTCTTGTAGAGCAAACAAAACGGTGTTCGCCACCTCCTCAACTCCTCAATGGGGAAGTTAAAGAAACAGACAAAGAAATCTACGAACACAATGATTTGGCAGAATATGTTTGCAATACTAGATTTCTGATGAAGGGTTTTAATAAAATTCAATGTGTTGATGGACAATGGACAGACTTGCCTATGTGTATTGGTAATGTATAAAAATATTCATATTTAAACATAAGTCAACACTCTTTGTATTCATAAACACATAAATTGCATTTTGTAAATAAACATATTTTTGTGAAATTTTCACAGAGGTGGAGAGTACATGTGGAGATATACCTGAACTTCATTATGGCTCTGTTGTTGAGTCTTCTGTCCCTCCCTATCACCATGGAGATTCAGTAGAGTTCAATTGCACAGAAGAATTTACAATGATTGGACACAAGTCAATTACATGTATTAGTGGAATGTGGACCCCACTTCCTCAGTGTATCGGTGAGGAGACACTTTTCAAGTTGACAGTCAATGAAATTTAATATTTTTATGGCAAAAACTGTATTTGCAAACATATATTTGAAATTTAGGTATATTCTTGAAAATGTCAGGTCTTAGGGGTACCTGGATGGCTCAGTCAGTAAGCATCCACCTTCTGCTCAGATCATGATCTCAGAGTCCTGGGATTAAGCCCCCACATCAGGCTCCCTGCTCAGCAGGGAGTCTGCTGCTCCCTCTCTCTCTGACCCTCCCCCTGCTCATGCTCTCTCTCACTCTCTCTCAAATAAGTAAATAAAATCTTATTTTAAAATGTCAGTTCTTAAATTACAATGAAGGTAGACATTGCTTATAGCTCATTATATGTCTACAAATTAGCAATAGAATTTTATCAGTCTTTCTGTCCCTGATATTAACACTGTTTATAAGTGTGAAGCTAAATTTTATTTATGGTTATTCATATGATTTAAATATGAGTACTAATGACCAAGAAAATAGAACTATATTTGCAAAAAGACCACTTTTGTTTTTATGTGGCACTCTTGATTTCAGGTCCTGGAAAAAAAGTTACTACCCACTTGTTACATTCCTATAGGAATCTTGCCTCTCTCAAAATTTCTAACAATTTCCCAATCTGTTTCAAATGCAACAACAAGTTTATGTGCTGAAGGGTGGGTGGGCTGCAGGCCCTCTCAGTCAGTAGGAGAACTCAGTCAAAGGAGACAGTCAGGGTTAGGCTAGGAAACAAATCTGATGGATGGACTTCCCTCTGACTGATGTATGTGAATCTTCCTGACCTTTGGATACCAAGTCTTTTATGACTAACCAGGAGAATATTGAGGGCCCTTTTCATTTTTCCTTTGGAATGAGTTCTTTCCTAGAGTTTTCCTAAGCCCTACATTCAAAGAGAGCCCTGGATGTCTAGTCTTACTTATTCATCAGATTTCTAGGCATTAACTGTTCCAAGGAGAAGGTAGGGCTTGGGCTCACGCTCCATGAGAGCAGAGATTTACTCCTATTTTGTTCATGATGTATTCCCAATACCAAAAGACTGGCAGACATACAGCAGACATTACATTACATACAGAGTTTGTTGAATGAATCACAAAGTTTTGGTGCTTATTAATCCTTACATTTTTGCTAAACACATTCCTGTTAGAAGTATCGTCAGTCCTTCAAACCCAAACTTCATCTTTGTCCCTTCTATCTCCACAAATGATCTCCCTTTATTTCATGTGGGAGGAAAAACCCAAGGTTATAACAGGCATGAAAACTCTCAACTTTCATTCTTATTCTAAAACATTTCCTTCAATTATTACTCTTTTCTGATCTCAGAGTTTGCTTTCCAAAGGTTAATCTTCTACCTATATTCAGCTTAACATAATCCCCTTACAGGTATAATAGACCTTACTCCAATTTTCTCCTCTCAGTGTTTATTTTGTACCTCCAGCTAGTCTAGCTGTTCACTCTTCTCTGAATGTTTATTTTCCCCTAATAAACAAAGAACTTCTTTCAGAAACCAATCAATCATAGGACAATGACAACAGCCGCCACCACTCCTTTTGACTATAGATCGTCCTTTAGTTACCACCACCTGAACACCTTGTTTTGTCTCCCTCAACACTGTGGACAAGCCCTAAAAATAGGATAAATTCTTGCCTCTAGTGTCTTTTGAATTAGTCTCCTTTGTTTTATTTTTCAATGTATTACAAAATCATTACTTCTTTGGTTAATCATTAACAAATCATTAACAAGGACCTACATCAACTCATATTTTATCAAATCCAAAAAGTACTTTAATCTGTATTGAATTTTTGAAATACATAGCTATATAAAAAGTTATATTTAACTCAGAGTCAGCAAAAATTTACTATTATAGCGTTAAAATATTATTGAATTATAGGGTGATCTGATATATAAAATAGCTCTTCAAAGATTGTAAGAGTATAAACAGGAGGGTGCCTGGGTGGCCCAGTTGGTTAAGTGACTGCCTTCGGCTCGGGTCATGATCCCGGAGTCCCAGGATCGAGTCCCGCATCGGGCTCCCTGCTCAGCGGGGAGTCTGCTTCTCCCTCTGACCCTACCCCCTCTTGTGCTCTCTCTTTCTCACTCTCTCTCTCAAATAAATAAAAAAATTTAAAAATTAAAAAAAAGAGTATAAACAGGAAACAGGTTGTGGCTTTAAGCACCCAACTTCTAATTCCAAGAATCTGTTCCTATTTTTTAGTGATTATACAAAAGATCTACTTAAGTATTCACATTCTGTATACTACATCTTAGATGTACTTTTCTTATTATATTACATTGCCTTTATTGAAAAAAATATATTTAAACTAGCAACTTCATATATTCTATTTCCACAGATAAATATGGGACCAAATGTAGTCAGGTGATGACTGCTCAGTATGTAGATCATCCAAAAAAGTGAGCCTCTTACACTTTTCTAATCCCCAAAGTGCAGAATGCATTTATGATGGACATTTTCTCTGAAATTTCAAAGACTGGACACAGGACTTATGTTCATACATAAGAGCCCATCTCATGCAATATGGTCAGGAATAAATTGGTTGGTGGAGTTTATGGGCTCAAATTCTAATTTCATTATACTATTGACTCTAAGCTATTTTTTGTAGTAGTTGCTTTGATTCTTATAATTAGTCTTTTCAAGGGAATATTTTCATTTTATAGCAACTGACAAACTTGAGAAGTGTAAATACAGCTTGACTAGAAAAGAAACAAATCCATTAAGTAAGATTGTATTTGATCATAATGAGAAAATAAGTTATAAATGCAGAAGAACAATGAAGCAGAAACATTCAACATGCATAAATGGACGATGGGATCCCGAACTAAACTGCACAGGTAAGCTCTTGTTTACAATATTTTCAAAAACTTACTCTATTTCTTCCTAATTTATAAAAGTAGTATCTTTGCGGCTTCTAAAAAATTTTACCTATGTATTACTACACAGAAACTAACCAAAACCCTATTTCTGAATACTAATTGCATCAGTGCATTAGTCCGCTATAAAACAAAACACCCAGAAACTTGGTGGTCTTGAATTAACATCCGGCCAGGTATCTTGAAGAATTAGTGTTTGGGTTTTCTTTGAGGCTGAAGAGAGCACAAAGCTGGCAGCCCCCTGGTTTCCGTGCCCTGAGAAGCACCTCTGTAGCTTCCAGATGTGTGGCAAATCTGAAGTCTGCCCCTCAAGCGAACGTTCCAGGACAAGTAAATTGGCCTTTTTCACAGCAAGACTGAGGGTGTGTTTCAGTCGGCTGTCTGTGTAGTGCCCTGGAGGCGGTGGCCTGCCAAGAATTTCCTGCCCCATTGATACAGTCCTGCGGGAGCCAGAAAGGCAAGTCCCTCTGGCCATGAGCGCCAGTAGATCGAGGAGCGTCCCCTATGTGGACCGAGCATGTTGCCAGCTTTGGTGAGGCAGCAGGAGAAGGCAGGGCTGGGCCACACCCGCTGGCTTTTATGGGGCCACAGGAGAGCACTGGGCTGGAGTGCGCCTGCCGGGGTTCTCAAGGTGGAGGGCGAGTGTAAAAATGGCACCTGCCACACCTCCGTCGTGGAAAGAGTCCCAACAGACCCCTGCCCCTCAGTAGATGCTTTAAGATTAGCAAATGGCTCTCCTTCTCATGGGTCTAGGTGTTTCTCAAACTGTCCCGTTCACTTTGGTCCCCTGGGGGTAGTGAGTGGGTCTGGGTGCCAGCTCCTTAAGAAAAGTATCTCAGGGGGTGCCTGGGTGGCTGGGTTAGGTGTCCGCCTTCCAATCGGGTCATGATCTCAGGGTCCTGGGATCGAGCCCCACATCAGGCTTTCTGCTGAACAGGAAGTCTGCTTCTCCCTCTCCCTCTGCCTGCGCGCGCTCTCTCTCTCTGTCAAATAAATAAATAAAATCTTTAAAAAAAAAAAAAAAGTATCTCCGTTCTCTACAGCCCATTGAGTCTCCTGGATGTGAGACCCGTTGGTTTTCAAAGCCAGGAGTCGGGGGGGGGCTCATCTTTCTTTTGCAGGTCCCAGAGTTTGGGGTGCTGATGTGGGACACAAACCTCTCTCTCCTCAGGGAGAAGCTCTGGATTTGTGAGATCCCACCTGATTGTGTGTAGCCCTGCCAGGGGTGGGACTTTTGTCCCTACTGGGTCTCTGACTCTCCTACCCATCTCGATGTGGCCCTTTTACTGTTTGTTGTGAAGGAGCTATTCAGCTAGTTTTCAGGTCTTTTTTAGAGGAAATTGTTCCATATGTACCTGTGTGTCTCTGGGAGGAGATGAGGTCAGTTTCTTCCTATACATTTGTCCTCACACTCGATTTGTGCACATTGATTTTATACTCTGACACTATACTAAGTTGCATTATTCATTTTAGGTATTATGGTGTAGATCTGTTGCGATTTTCTGTAAGCAATTATGTCACTGAAAATACAAGACTTTATTTTTGCCGGTCCTTTTTTATTTTTATTTTCTTATCCTATCACACTGACTTGGACCTCCAGTAACCTGCTGAAAGGAAGTGATGAGAACATACAACTTTGTCCTATTCCTGATCACTGGCAGAGGATATTCAACATTTTACCACAAGTATAATGTCAATTTAGGATTTTTGTAGATGCCCCTTATCAGTTTAAGGAAATTTCCTTCTCTTACTTAACTGAGTGAGAAATTTTGTGATCAAGCAATGTCGAACATTTTCAAATGCTTTTTAAGTATCTCTCGATATGATAATATGACTTTCTTAATTCTGTTAATACAGTGAATTATAGATATACATTTTTGGATGTTGAACAGATCTCTCCTCCCTAGAGTTAACTCTACTAGGTAGTGACTTATTCTTTCTATATTTTCATGTACTTGATTTGCTGATATATTTTTAAGGGGTTTTACATCTATATTCATGGGGAATATTAATCTATAGTTACTTTTTCTTTTAATGCCTCTCCCAAGTTTTGTTGTTAGGATTATAATGGCCTCATAAAACGAATTGAGGACTGCTCTCTGCTTCTCTGTTTTCTGAAAGTATAAATGTAATATTATTAGTACACATATTATTATTTTATTATTTGTACCTTAAATGATTGATAGACTTCACCTGCAAAGTCATCTGATATATAATTTGCTTTTTTGGAAGTTTTTCTTGATGAAGAATTCAATTCTTGAATAAGTAGTGAAATATTCAGATTTTCATATTGTCTTTTGTCAATGCAAAGAAGTTGTATTTTTAAAGAAGTATTTTACCTAATTTATGAAATTGATTGGTATACATTTGTTCCTACTAGTCACTTAATATTCTATTTTCCTTTTAATTATATAGTTTCTTTGCTGGTATCACTTCTTTCATTCTTGACATTGATAGTTATTTCTCTCTTTCATCTTGATTATTCTTCCTGGGTTTTCTTTTTTTCTTCAGTTTTATTAATAATTTCAAATAACCAATTTTAACACTTAATTTTCTCCATTTACTCTCTCTTGTAATTTTAGCCTATTAACATGCTCTATTTTTTCTGTTTTCTTTTTTCTATTTGTCTTTCTTAATTTTTTCTCTTCTGTCGACTTAACTGTTTTTTTCATTCTAATTACTTGGATTTTAATTTTATTTTTTCATTTCCTAAGGTAGAAAATTAAAACATGGATTTAACTTCATCCTACCTTTTAAAGATAAATTCCATTTTTTCTTCTAAGTACTGCTATAGCAGTCTCAAAATTTTTATATACATTTCATTTTCATTTAATTCTATGTGAAATGTTTTCTAATATTCCTTGTGATTTCTTCCTTGACCTGTCAGTTATTTAGAATTTTGTTGCTTAATTTCCAAATATTTATTTTTCCTAAATAGATTTATTTTCTTTTAACAGCTTTTTTTATGGTATGATTGCTATACAAAGAACTGCAAAAAAAATTACAGAATAATTTTTAAAACATAAAAATAAAATAAAATCCAAATAATAAAATAAAATACAAAAAGAGAAGCTTTTTTTAAAAAGCATAAACAGAATACTTGCAGAATAGTAATTCTGTCTGTAAGGAAATTTAGTTGCTAGACCAAATTCTGGCAAATTGTAACAGAGGAAGTACATAAGATTTTTAGGGCAAAAATGGTTAAACATCAGGTACAGAAGAAACTCAATCCTTGACAATGCATTGAAAAAATATGCCAAGATATTTAAAACAAATAAGAAAAAATTTTGATTAAATATAAAATTCTTATACTTAGCTAGAAATAGAAAATGTGAGAACTAGAAGACATGAGAAATACAAAATATGAGATAGAAATAGAAAATATTAGTAAGCATGAATGAAGTGTATTCAGTCAAATATTTCTCTGAATTGACTACAAAATCTTGAGTAACTGAAAGGACTTACAAGACTTCTCAGGGTACACTCACATAAGGCCTTTAATGAAATAAATGCACGACAGGAGAAAGCAAAATCAAGGAATCATAGAAAGATCCAAAAGCCTCCAGGTACAGCCATCCAAAGTCTTCCCTCAGTTGAACAAGACATGCATTGTCTTCAGATTATGAGCTGCCACGATACATGTGCGGTATCTCAGGTCTCTGGGAGCTCAAACACGAGTTTACAGAGGAATCTTGTGCCCCTTGCTGGTCATGCAACTGAAGCCAGGCTGTCTGATCTGTTCAACAGGGTGCATTTTGTTAACCTATCTATCTCTTAACAGTGTAGGCAAGCTAGTAAACAGTACCTCCAGAGAGTTTTGAACTTTAAACAACACACTGTAAACATTAGTGACCATATCTAATTCCTATCTTAGCCAAGAATCTGTATCAGATAATTGATCATTAACTACATGTAATTCTTCCTCTGACTAATTAGCTTCCATTCCACACCTACTGAGGGTTTAAATCCAATCACAATACATTTGATTATGGATATCTGTAAACAAGATCCTGATATCAGTATTTATTTAGTGCCTAACACTGAGTGAACAACTCAGAACATCCTAATGGTTAGAAACCATTAAAATAAGTTTTACATAAATTAAGCAAGATTTGTCACAGAAAGAATAAAAGGAAGATACTACGAGTAACATGGTGAGAATATAAACCACATGTGATATATTAAAGTGCTCTACAAGCCGAAGAGTGTAACATGTTTAAATATAGAACATAATGTCATTATTTGATCATTAATGATACATTATTACTGAGTTTTCTGTTTGTCTTTTTAATATGTTTAACTTATGATTTTTAATCAAGAAATCTAAATTTTAATATTTTTAGAAGTTCAAACACAGTCATGCCCCCCTCCACCTCAGATTCCCAATGCTCAAAATATGGCAACGACGGTGAATTATCAGGATGGAGAAAAAGTATCTGTTGTCTGTCAAGACAATTATATACTTCAGGATGCAGAAGAAATTGTGTGCAAAGATGGAAGATGGCAGTCAATACCACGCTGTGTTGGTCAGTACTGCACAACTTGCTTCATAACATTCTTTCAAATGAGCTTAATAAGCCCCTGTGCTTTGTGAAAAGGAACACGATGAAGACCTTTCTCTATACCTATTTCACTTTACCTTGAAACAGTAAATTACAAACTAAGTATACAAATCAATCAGCATTCTTTCACTTCTACTGTGAAATGAACAGACAAAAACTTCGGGTTATTGTGCAAATACCAGAGAAAATTTCCGTTTATGTCTGTTTTACTCCTCATGATGAACAGGACCAGAATGAAGGGGCATAGTGAACAAGTAGATAATAACATAGATTTTATGGAGACATATATGCTTGCAAGTTTCAAATGTTTTTCAGTTTTTCATTAATTTAATTTGTTTAAATTATCCTTATTTTAAAATCCCAAATGGTATTTGATTGCATTTTTCAATTTAAACATTGTATCTATACTTGACCCTGTGATCTCTGTTCTTCATACAGAAAAACTTGCGTGTCCTCAACCACCTCGTATAGAACATGGAACCATTAAATCATCTGAATTTTCAGAAGAAATAGAAGAAACACTGAAACCTAAGCTTTACCCACATGGCAGCAAATTAAATTACACTTGTGAGGATGGTTTCAGAATATCTGAAAAAGATGAGATAACATGCCAGATGGGAAAATGGAGTTCTCTACCCCGGTGTGTAGGTGAGGACAGTATGCAAACTAAAATTCTAGTTTCAATTTTCAAAACAATCCATTAAACATAATTGTCATCAAAGTCATGAGAAAGAATCCTTTAGGTTTCTAAATATCTAAAATCATATATATCTAAATATCTAAAATCATTTATATATTTACATATTTTACCAATTTTTGCATAATCAAATCTATCCCATTTTTGTTAATTTTTTTGATTCATTATAGAATCACTTTTAATTCTGGCAGTTGTTTAATTAAAACTAGATGTGTAGTGCAGTTAAACCTACCTATTTATATAGGTATGACTATTCATATTCCTACCTATTTATATAAGTTGTACTGTTAGCTTTGCCATCAGTTTTGTTTTGTTTTTCCTATCATTTTCTTCCTGATTTCTTACAATATATGGTACTTATCTTAAGATGATTAATTCTCAGTGCCCTTCTTTCTATTATTCACTATATTGGTTTAAGAAGCACTGATAGTCTCTTTCATAAATACATTGACATTTTTATTTTTTATTTTTTTTATTATTATTTTTAAGTTTTCACTTAAATTCCAGTTAGTCAACATACAGTGTAAGATTAGTTTCAGGTGTACAATATAGTGATTCAGCAATTCCATACAACACCCAGTGCTCATCACAAGTGCCCTCCTTAATCCTCATCTCCTATTTCACCCATCCACCCACCCACTTCCCCTCTGGTAACCATCAGTTTGTTCTCTATACTTAAGAGTCTAATTCTTGGTCTGCCTCTCTCTCTCTTTTTTCCCCTCCGTTCATTTGTTTTGTTTCTTAAATTCCACATATGAGTGAAATCTATGGTATTTGTCTTTCTCTGATTTATTTTACTTAACATTATACTCTCTAGCTCCATCCACGTCATTGCAATTGGCAAGATTACATTCTTTTTTATGGCTGAGTAATATACATACTACCTTTTCTTTATCCATTCATCTATCAAGGGACATTTGGGCTGCTTCCATATCTTGGCTATTGTAAATAAGGCTGCTATAAATATCAGGGTACATGTATCCCTTTGAATTAGTATTTTTGTGTACTTTGGGTAAATACCTAGTGGTGCAATTGCTGGTTCATAGGGTAGCTCTATTTTTAACTTTTTGAGGAATCTCCATACTGTTCTCCAGAGTGGCTGCATCAGTTTGCATTCCCACCAACAGTGCAAGAGGGTTCCCCTTTCTCCACATCCTTACCAGCACCTGTTATTTCTTGTGGGTTTTTGTATTTTATTTTAGCCATTTTGACAGGTATGAGGTGGTATCTCATTGTGGCTTTGATTTGTATTTCTCAAATGATGAGTGATGTTGGGCATCTTTTCATACATGTTGGCCATCTGTAGTCTTCTTTGGAAAAATGTACATTCATGTCTTCTGCCCATTTTTAATTGGATTATTCACTTTCCAGGTGCTCAGTTTTATAAGTTCTTTCTGTATTTTGGATACTAACCCTTTATCAGATATGTCATTTGCAAATATCTTCGCCTTTTAGTTTTGCTAATTGCTTCCTTCATTATTCAGAAGTTTTTTTAAAATTTTTTTTGTGATGTTAATCACCATACATTATATTATTAGTTTTTGATGTAGTGTTCCATGATTATTGTTTGTGCATTACACCCAGTGCTCCATGCAGAACGTGCCCGCTTTAATACCCATCACCAGGCTAATGCATCCTCCCACCCCCCTCCCCTCTAGAACCCTCAATTTGTTTTTCAGAGTCCATCATCTCTCATGGTT